ATATTGTGTTTAACTATATAATCTTCAACCTGTAAATTTTTAATTTTTAATTTTAACTTGTAACATAAACTGAAGGCGACAATGTAAACGGGGCTTGGCGATAAGACATATAATACAATACGTCTTCTTCTTGCTCCGGCCATTTATTTTACGTGTACGATCTTTTTTAAAGTAAATTTTATTAAACGGCAAAGAAAATAAATAAATAAATAAAAAAAGAACTAACAACATCACTAGCAGCAAGAGTATTAAGGTTCTTCTCATACAATCTTTTTAATAACCAAACTGTTTATTAATTTTATAAATAATATAAACAGTTTTTAAAAAGATTATAAACAGTTTATAAAATTAATTTTATAAACTGTTTATAATTTTATGTTTGTGAGCAATAACTTTAGTTATTACTCACAAATATCGCTATCAGCAGAAAAACATTTTCAACAGGAAAAGAATGCTTTTAGATTTGTACCCAGATTTACATCCATAGGCACAGCATCTACTTACCATTTTAAGTTTTATTTAATACAGCATGTTATAAAGGTTTTACTTTTACTTTTTAGTTTAAAAACCCCTTTTTGCTTTTTGAAAAGAAATTTGTTACTACACAAACTAGGTATACAGAAAACCTTGTGAAAATTATAATCTAAGTTCAATGTAAGCTAATAAAGTGCTTCAAAAATTTAGCAAATTCTCTGAATATTATTTAGAATATCGAAGACCTAAGAAATGAAACGTCTGTCAAAAAGAATACAAATAGATATGCGGTGAAATTTTTAAGGTCATTTAAGGTCATTTAAGTTTCGAACAAAAAAACAAATTTTTAAAATCTGATTATATTTTTGAAATTTTTTCCTTTTTCTAACGGATTTTAGCGGTAACTTTTTATTTTTATTCTTTTATTTTTCTTTTAATCTAAATTTTATATCATACGATATATTTATTTTTACAAAGTAGCTTTATGAAAAGATTGTGATGACGCAAGTTATTCTTCTTTGAACCACAATCTGCTTTATTCTTTTAAAAATTACAATTTTCTTCATATATTTAAACGTTAGGAAGCATTCATAAAGGGTGGCCTATAACTCAACCTAATTTCAAAATTTCGTAAATTGTAGATTAAGACGTTTTTGATTTTCAAACGACAATTTTATATTTTTATTATTTACTTATTATTGCCTTTCTGGTATGTATTTTGTATATTTTATTGTTGATTTGAATACGAGCCAAACTTAGCGCATGGTTGTCTTTAGAATCAGGAGGTATAAGGTTCAATCAATACTTGGAAAACTTATTGATTGTTAATTTAAAAAAAAACGCTGAAGTTTAAAAAAACAACGTTAAAAACACAGACCAGATAATCAGTTAAAAATTAATTTATCTCAAATTGGTTGAAAATGAAAATCTATAAAATAGGCCAAAAAATAAATCGGTCGAAAACGAAAACGTCATAAATCGGTTGAAAATAAAAAAAGACTATAATTGGTTGAAAACAATTTAGGCCTCAGTAGGTTATCTAAAAATGAGTTCCAATTTTCATTAGATGTTCATTTGGTAGAACAGCTTAACAGGTCGAGATTTTAGTAGGTTGTTTTTTAGGTCTAACGATATGACAAGTCATAAAGTACATACGCAGTTAAATTACTGATTAAGGACCCTCTCCCCGCCTCCCCTTGTATGCACCTGTAATATCTGTATGCTTTTAACAACCCCCCCCCCCTATGCCTCAGCCCCATCCTCTATGCCAACATAGGAGCAGTAGTTGCATATAATGGCATACTTGTGCTTTTTTTTTTTTTTTTCTTAAAATAAAAATAACTAATAAAAACTAAAGCTAATGAAAACTGCTAGGGTATTATTGTTCTACGTGTAACAACGAATGTATCCATATCAAAACTTTTGTTCTTGGTCTTCAGGATACTGAATAATCAAGCTTCAAAGTTAAGTATGCCATCATAGGCGCCTTCTATCTAGTTATTCAATAATAACAATAAGCACTAAATATTATATTATAAACGGTCATTATTAATTGCTATTATTTAGTATTAAAAGTAATAATTGAAATTAAATTACCCTAATTTGTTAAAATTAAAGTAATCTAAAATAAAGTATGATCTATCAGAATCGTAGGGATCATGATGCATAAAAACCTTTACATTTGCAGAAAATCAAAACAGTAAAAAGTATTACACTCTTTAAAAAATCAATTTTCTATATAAAACATTAACAAAAAATTAACAGTGTTTAGCTTTAAGTCTTTAAAACATTTCAGTAAAGCGATCAGTAAGACTCTCACTGTTAATTTCATTTAGTATTTCATTTTCCAACAATCTTCTCTGCCCATTTGTCGAGGGGCACTGTTGACACCTAACATTCGTTAACCAAACCAACAGTGAAATTTCTTTTGGCACACTCGAAAAGTTGTTTAAATAAGTTGAACGTAGATTTAGACAAAATAGTATCAAAAGATATACATCAAAGGGCTGTCCATTAATTACGTCAACAACGTTTTGACAATTTTTACCTCCCCCTCCCCCTTGTCAAATACTTCTCAAACTTTCAGTGACCCCCCTATAAAATTACGTCAACATTCGATAACCTCCCCCCCCCCCCCATCCAAAAAAAAAAATTAAGAAGGAAAAAAAATGTTTTAAATTCACTAGTTTACAACTGAAACAAATAAGTGGCTCAAAGTAAAATGTTTAGAAAAAAAATGTATTCAAATTTTAACTTTTGAACATATTTCAAATAAATATAATCATTTAAAATTACAAATGCTTGTTCAGAACAAAAAGTGAATTAAAGTAAAAGGTATAGAAAAAAAATTAAATTTTTAACTGATAAACATAATTCCAGTTTAAAAAAATACAAAAGAGCCTTTTTTTGTAAACCCTTTAATCTTTTTTCTCTTAAGAAAAAAAAGATTTAAGGGTTCACAAAAATGTTTACACGTTTAAATTATAACCATATTTCAAATTAATAAAATTCTCCTCACTTTAACATCATACCTAATAAAAGTTTACATTGAAAGCCAATTATTTTTAATAGAGTCTAGAATAACAAAAAAAGCATTTAACAAACTGTATAAACCAGGGGTAGGCAACCTTTTGAGACAAAAGAGCCAAAAGTTACAATATACAAAGTTTTTCAGTTTTTAAAGAGCTACCAACATCTTTATTATAATATTATATTTAGGGATGCGGTGTCCCGAAAAAGACTCCGGATTTATATGTCACAAAAAGATTACTTCTTCCTAGTTTTTGGTATCCAGGAGCTCTAATAACATAAAAATCCTTAAAGATTGGTAAAAAATGGCGACTAGGACTTTAAGATTCCGGACTTAAAACAATATGTTTCAACTTATTAAATTTCATGATTTTTTTTTGTTTACCAGATCATAAATCAACCAACATGTTCAAAGCTTTTATACAACAGAGACCAGTAAAAAATAGAGATATAAAAACGGAATCCTTTTGGGACTCTGCATCCCTGATTATACTAATATTTGTGCATGTCAAGGTATTTCAATGTAAATATGCAGCTAAAGAGCAGCGCTCGAAATAACGGCCGATCAAAAATTAATGATTGGCTATTTTGGGGGAAATTTCAAAAAATTCAAGGGAAAATAATTTGTTTTTGTGAAAAAATTACATTTGATCGGCAAGATTTGAAAAACTATTTCGAGCGCTGAAAGAGCTTTATTTTGACATCGAAAAAATCACAAGAGGTTTGCGAGCTACAGGTTGCACCCCATGTATAAACGTTTAAACAATGTAAAATAGACGATATACTTACATGAATCTTTTTTGAATGCACAGCAGACTGAGGCAACAATAACTGTGAAAAAACAATACCGTTACGAGCAGTGCCGGACAGAGCAATTTGGGGGCCCTAGGCAGACATGGATGTGGAGCCCCCCTCCCACATATATTTATTTTTCTTCAATTTTTAAGTAATTTTTATTATTAATATTTATACAGGAAATCATGACAAAATTGATGTAAGTACTGTATATTTCACTACAATCCCTTTTAAACAAGATAAAAATGACTGTCAATATCACTTCTTCAATCACTTTCCAGCTTAGTTTGAAGTTTGTCACAAAGTTGGTTCCTTTAACTTCAGGTTTGAGACTTCCTTAATATTAAAAAGGAATCCAAATGTGTCTCGAAGCTTTTCTAGTTCAGGAAATCGCCTGTTCAATTAATTGATTGCAATGTCAATTGTTTCATTGAAAAAAGTGAACTGTATTTTTTGAAGGGGAGTAAGCACACTTTCGTGGTTTCTTGGTCTTTCTCGGGGCTCATATAGCACTGCTTTAATTACACAGTTATGAGCAATTTCTTCTGCAGTAACCACGAGTTTGTCAAAATCCGAAGTAACTTCAGTTCCTCTTTGCAATTATTCAGATATATCAGAGCCAGCTGAAGATCCATTTTTTCTGACTGCAAGTATTTACTTGCAATGTTAATCTGTGAAAGTAACTCATATCAAATAACTGTTTTGATTATGAATGCAAAGGATGAGAACTCATTTGAAAGTGACACAAGTTCAGCATATGACAATGAATCATTTGTCAAGTCCTTTAGCTCTTCAAGTGCCTTCAATACACCAGGCAAATTATTTCTTGTTACTTTGATACAGTCTATTCGAGACTCCCATTGGGTTTCACTCCATTTCTTCACTGTGACACCAGCACAATCTTTCATGACTTTCCATCTTTATGGTGGTGCAGAAAAGAATGCGTAGAGACGTTGAAGGATTCCGTTCAAGAATTCGTGCTTGCACTCCTTTGTTAGAACATTTCATGTTGCTTCCATTATCATATCCCTGGCTTCGGCAGTCATCTATATTTATGTCGTTCTCCACTAGAAAGTTAGTTATCAAATTTGAAAGCCCTTCACCAGCTCTCCAATACCTCTGTTCTTGCTGAAGAATAGTTTGGTTCAGTTTGTCAATTGTCTTGTTTGAATTAAACGAGTTTCCAGCTCCCTCGATTTTAATCAGTAAGAGGTGTGATCTGGTGATGTGTCATGTTCACTTAATCTGGCATAAATGTTTTTCCAATCACGTCTATCCAATCCAATTTCCATTTTTCCAATTTTCCAATCCAATCCACCTTTAGTAAGCTTGTCTTTTTCTGTTCCAAATAATTTACAGCAGAAACAGAAGACAGAGTCCATCTTTTTGAAATAAACAAGCCAGGGTCGTGGAATTTTTTGGTCTTTTGTCAAGTCACGTTGATAGTTTGAGATACTGAACCTGCGCTTGATTGTAGAATCCATAGGAAAGTCAAAGTCCTTCAACTGGAATGCCCCCCTTTTCACTATTTCTGTTCTTAAACTTAAAAGATCTTCTAGCCATTCTGCTGGATCCAATGATATGAGTTGAATTTGTACATTTTGGATGATATCTGTAGTTGACTGACTTGACTCAGGCGATGATATCACATCTGTTGTTGACTGACTTGATTTAGACATTGCTATGACATCGATAGCTTGCTAAGATACTCCATTTATATCTTTAGTCTGCACAGTCATTTCAATCACTTTATCTTCATCTTTTATCACACATCTTCTTTATAATCTAAAATAATTCCAGTCCGTACTAATCTTTTACAATTATATAAAATAATTCAGTTAAACGTACTAATCTTTTGCAATTCTGCAACCTTTTTCTCGTTTTCTTCCTTTTTCTTTCGTTTGCTAGCACCACTTAGATTTCGCACTCTCTTCATTGTCAAATTAATAATGACTAATAATGTTAGTGATTTTGCCGGTTATCCGTTTACAAAAACTTTTTTTGTGTGAATTTTAAAATCTCATTGATTTTCGGACATAGATGGAATCATGGATAAACTTGAATGTTCTCAATAGGGATGTACCGAAGCTTCGGCTTCGGTTCGGCCGAAGTCAGGTCAGTTTTTTGCCGAATATTTGGCTTGGGCAAAAAATTTTAAGTAATTAAATTTATAAGCTACTGTGGGACAAGTTATAAAAATACGCTAATTGCCAGTGTCTAATTAAGTTATAAATTCAGGACTACAGAGTTAAAGTTGGAGTCTATACCATATACTTAGTATTATTTACTCCCAGATATCTTGTTATGGAGGGGATAATAATAAATAAGTCAAAAATATTTTGAAAATAATAATAAAATTAGGGAAGGTCCTCATACACTTTGAAAGCTTCCAAGTGTGACTTTAGATAAACTGAATCTGCATTTCTATGCAGAATAAAAACCTTATAATTTAAAACAAATTAAAAGTTTTTAAAACCTTAATTTGTATTATGTAACGAATTCATATTAATTATTGTGTGGGATTACCGCAAATAAAACAAAATTTGGTTTCAACATTTGACCTATAAACCTTAGTAATCTCTCTTTAAAGAAGATTAAAGATACGTCGCTACTATTTTAAATTGTGTGTATGTTTAATTTTTTAAAATTTTATTTAACCATATTAATAAAAATTTACAAATTTTCATCGTAAATTTACAGAAATTGGTTAGATGTCACTTATATAGATACAAACTAGTCAATGGAGTGACACATAAAAAACATAAAGTTCTCAACAACAAAAAAGGAAAAAAAGCAAATGAAATATAAATGAGGAGAATAAAAAAAGAAAAAAAAAAGTCAACAAAAACTAGATAAATTAAAAGAAAAAGAAAAACAATGATAATAATTATCCTTTCTCTTTTATTAACATTATGAATACTTCTAAATTGAATTTATATATTAAACATGTAAACCTATATTCTGGCTTCTTCTTATGATATTATGAAGACTTTTAAATTTTATTTAAAATAAATTAAAGGTTGAAGCTTTGATTGCTTTGAGCTCTTATATTTATCGTCAAAATTTATTTAAATTAAATAAACAATTTAAATCAAATAAATATCAGCTTGCTCAGTCCATGTTTATTTATAAATATAAAGTAAATAATAATATAATTATAAATAAAAAATTCATAAAGTATTCTATTAATTATTTTATTTAAAGCTCACTCGACAGAGTTGTTAGATTACTATGGAAGCTTTTATCACAGATAGTTAATATTTGATTTCAAATACTGATGCAGATTCATCCATTGCAGAGACAGAAGAAGAATGAATAAAAAACGCTCGGTGCGGTCAAGAATCAGAAACGACATAATAAAAAAATTTTAAACAGGGGCGCTGAGAGCTTTTACCCTGCCTGGGACAGCAACCCTGACTGGCGTACTCATTTTTATACGATTTTTCTATATTATTAGTCAAGGACCTTAGTTTTGGTACCTTTTTTGTTTTACAGCCCTGCTGATCTAAATGCTGATTAAATTTTAAGCATATATTATCATAAATTATATATTATCATAAATGAAGATTACGCAAATGAAATCTTAGAAAAACGAAAAAAGCTTTGGAAAGAAATAAAAAGACACCGAAAAGAAGGTAAATTTGCAGTTATCAAATATGATATAATTTTTGTACGAGAGTTTCGGAAATAAGTTAAATGTTTAACCTCGATTTTATAAAAATAAACTCTTAATCATGCGCAATGGCTTACAAAAAAATTGACTTTGAAACAAAACAATTAAATTTTTTTGAAACTGATAACAGCATTTACTTAACGACTTTTATGACGCAGATAAACAGGTTTTTAAAGGATTAGATTTTAATTTGCAATACTATGACGCTGAAACTTTTAAAACGCTATTAAAAACATATATAAAAAATTTCACGGTGATACACATCAATATTAGAAGTTTAAGTTTAAATATAGACAAACTAAAACACTTTCTTTTAGAATCCAATTTTTTATTTAACATGATTTGTCTCACAGAATCATGGTGTGATGATGAGTCAGCTCAAAAAAATTCAAAATTTCAGATTCCTAATTATAAAATAATTTCATCTGAGAGAAAAACACTCAAAAGGGGAGGCAGAATTTTAGTTTACATTTGTAATGACCACGATATCAAAATTAGAAAAGACCTTTCGATTAGAGGTCAAAGCCGCCGCCATTAGCGAGAAGCCGCCGCCACTTGTACCTACTTTTTACAGCCGCCACTTTGCGTTATTAGCAACTACTAAGCCGCCAATCAAACAATATATTCAGCCGCAGCCGATTTCAAAGTCACTATTGTTGGCTGGAAGAAAAAAAAGAAGAGTTTAATAACCCAAAGTTCTCTTGTATAACTTAAAAGCAACTAGTTATTTGGAGCTTCTTATTTTGTGTGTGTAGCTTTTCCGTTTGCCATTTAAATTTTCTCTAAGATGAAATAGTAACAACGCACTCCTCCGTTTTATAAGTACATGAACGTCCGCTCTTTCTTACATATTTTTCAAATATTCTTGGCTTATAAAGATTGGCTTCGCTTTAAAGACACAAACAGAGTTTGTATTACTTTGTAATGGATCAAGAAGAATCGCATAATTCACATAACAATTCTTTAAAATACTTGAACATTAAGCTGTGCAGCTCATTTAAAAAAACAACCACAGATTCATCATTAGTATGGAAATACTATGGTCAAATAATGACACGAAATGGTAAAGTTATCGACGATGTACATTATTACTGTAGCGAATGTTTTTTGATAGAAAAAGGAAAAGTCGAGTCCTCAGGTGCAGGTCATTTATCAAAAATTCACAAGGTTAGGATTTCCACATCAAGCAGTAATTTGAAAAATCATCTATTTATTGTTCACAAAATATTAACAGACAAACCTGCCGCTGAAGTGAAAAATGATCAACTTTTACGTAGATGGTGCAGTACCTCTATAGCAAGTTCATCGAAATATGATTTAAGTCGCGATCTTGTCCTTTGGTTTTCTACAGATCTACTACCATTCTCTCATGTTGATAATGAAGGATTTAAAAAGTTTTTTGAGAAAAACATTGGTCTAAAACTTCCCACAGGTTCTGCTGTGAGTCAAGTAGCATTACCTGATATGTACAAATCTTTAAGGCGATCTGTATTGGGAATTTTACAAAATATTGATGCAGCAACAATTTTATTTGATGGTTGGACTGACAAGTATAAAAAAATTAATTATATGGGTCTGAAGTGTTCCATTATCAATGAAAACTGGCATAAAAAAATATTTACTTTGGCTTGTTTGCCTTTAGAATCTCATACAGGTGAAAATTGTCATAATTTTATCAAAGACATTGTTCAAGAATTTTTTCAGAGGCGTTGTAGAGATATGAGGCTGCATACCGTACATGACGGTGCAGCGAATATGATGAAAACCTCTAGACTTTTAGGTTCAAAGGATCCACAACATTGTCTAGCTCATATCTTGCATTTAATATTGACATGTGATGGCATAGATAATTGTACTGAAACAAAATGTTTGTTAGAAAAATGCAGAAGAATTGTAACCTGCCTGAATTTCAAGTCAACTTTACTTTTAGAGGAATCACACTGTGAAGCAGACATTCTTGCTGAAGTGAAAAACATTGATGATTTAGAGCAGCAATTTCCCATTCAAATTGATGATGAAGCAAACATGATTGACACAAATAATTTAGATATTTCTTGTAATGAAAAATTTGACAATAATTTCATAAAAAGACAACATAGAAGTCTGAAACAGCAAATACGCACAAGATGGAACAGTGCTCTCTTTATGATAGAATCAATTAACCAATTATTAGATCCTGTAGAAATTTTACTTAAGAAATGTGGTAGACAAGACCTTTGTTTAGATAATGATGAACAAGCTTTGATTTCAGAATTGGTTAAATTTTTAAAACCATTTGAATCATTAACCCTTGTGGTCAGTGCTGGAAATTCGCTTTCTATTTTGCCATTAGTTAAACACAAAATACTAAAACTTCTTTCGATTAACTCTTGTGATTTGAATGAAATAAAAAAATTAAAGGAGTGTTGCTCCCGAAAAATTGATAAAAGATTTAAGTTATCTACTTCTGCAAAAATTTGCTGTTTTTTAGATCCAGCCACTAAAATTTTATATACAAGAGATGAAATAAAGGAAAGTTTGTTGGAGAATGCATTAAACATAAAAGTGAACCAATTAGATTTAATTCAAGGTATTATATGTCTATACAACTAACTACATCAATAAAAGAGGTTTTTGTTTTGGAGACAATTACTGAAACACAAACAAATTTTATTTAAAAAATAATTAATTTTTTCATATTGTTGAAAGTGGAAAATAGAGTAGTTATTATTTTATTAAATCATTGAGTTCATCAAGTAATGTTTGTTTATTATTGATATCGTTTTTTATTAAATTGATTTATCTGGTTTTAGTTATATCAAAGTCAGACAATGATGAAGATTCAAAATCAGGTCCTAGTGCTAAGCGACAACTACTTCAAGAGATGAAGAAAAGTGTTACTTCTGCGGATAAAAATTATCAAATTATCAAAAAGTAGAGCAATTTATCTCTCATACACCTACGACAGATGAAGAACTGGATTGTTTATTGTTTTGGCGAAATCATCATGCAAAGTATCCACACTTAGCAGTGCTTGCAAAAGAGTATTTTAGCATACCAACCTCAAGTGTATCAGTGGAGTCCATGTTTTCACTAACTGGATTGATTTTGAACTCAAGAAGAAGCAGTTTAAGTTCTTTCAACATGAACATGACTATCTTTATTCATGATAATATCAGTCTTATTTGATTTTAATTTTAATTGAAAAAAAAAAGTTGTGTTAATTTAAACTTAAATTTATCATTATTATTATTGTTTTCTTTTTGTCGAAAACAATACTTATTTTACTTCAGAGCAATTTGCGCAGCCAGAAGCCAGCAACTTTGTTGGTCAGCCAGTATCAGCTAGTTGGCCAAGTTGCTCAGCTTTTAGCCACCTGCTAAATCTGTCAGCCAGCTAGTGCAATGTTCTAAGCACGGCTTTAAAACTCTACTTTCGATCTCTAATTCAGACAGTGAGGTCCTAACAATTGGGATAATAATTAAAAATACAAAAAAAGTTGTAGTTTCTACTTGTTATAGACCACCCGACGGCGATGTTATTCAGTTTTCAAATTAAATGCAACAAATTTTTATCAAAAGCAATAATGAACAAAAAAGATTATTATGCATCGGTGACATCAACATAGATAGTTTAAAGTACAATTAACACCCTAATACTAAAATCTTTTTTGACAATATATTTCAACAAGGCATAATCCCAATCATTAACAAACCAACTCGTGTTACAAAAACTTCTATTAGTGCTATAGATAATATTCTAACTAACTCTTTTCTAGATAAGTCTATTAAAACAGGAGTAATTAAAACTGATATTTCGGATCATTTTCCTATTTTCTATTTTTTTGATGAACATGCAACCATAAATGATAATTCTAAAATCAAAGTCTTGAAACGAAAAATGAATGAACATTCTATGCTTAAATTTAAAGAATCTTTATCAACAATAAATTGGATAAATGCATACCAAGAATGTAACCTTGGACACACAAATTCCGCTTATAATCTATTTCTCGACATCTTTCTTGAATATTATAACAAAACATTTTCCAATACAAGAAATAGAAGTCAAAACAAAATATTTAAAATGTCCTTGGATTACACGCGGAATAAGAAAATCTTCAAAAAAAAGCAAAATTTATACATCAAATATTTAAAAAACAGAAACGAAGCTAATCTTAATGCCTATAAAAAATATAAAAATCTGTTTGAAAAAATAAAAAATAAATTTAAAAAAAGATATTATTCTCAACGATTAAAAAATAATAATGGTAACATAAAGAAAACGTGGAAAGTTATGAAAGAAATCATTGGTAAAAATAAAATAGTATCTGACATTTTACCCTCCAGAATAACGGAAAACGATATTGAATACAAAAACAAAAAAGATATATCAGAAATATTTAATCATTTTTTTGTAAACACTGGTCTAAACCTGGCATCAAAAATAAAAGGCTCAGAAACATCGTTTCAAAATTATTTTAGCGATTTTGAAAGCTCATTGCCAGATAGTAATTTAACTTTTGATGAACTAGAAACAGCAATCAAATCAATTAAAAAGAATAAGGCCCCAGGTATTGATGGCATCTCTGGCAATGTTGTGCTTTATATTTTTTCTGTAATAAGAAAGCCTATTTTTAATATCTTCAACTCTTCAATCGAAAACGGAATTGTCCCAGACAAATTAAAAATAGCAAAAATTGCTCCTATATTTAAAGGTGGAGATACATCTGCAATTAGCAATTATAGACCAATCTCAATTCTTCCTATATTTTCTAAACTCCTTGAAAGAATAATTTACAAAAGACTGTATAAATATTAAATAGAACACAAAATCTTTAGTTAAAATCAATACGGGTTTCAAACGCAACATTCAACAGAACATGCTATCCTAGATCTCATTAATAACATTACAACTTCCTTTAATGATAGGAAATTTGTATTAGGAGTCTTTATTGATCTTACAAAGGCGTTTGACACACTAGACCACACAATACTACTAAAAAAAAAAAGGAAAAATATGGCAAAAAAAATCAAACTGTAAAATGGTTTGCCTACTACCTAGACAACAGACAACAATGTGTTACCATAGATCACTATAACAACTCGAAACAACTAAAAATCAAATATGGGGTTCCTCAAGGATCTATTCTAGCTCATCTTCTATTTTTAATTTATGTGAACGACCTCCCTAAAGTCTCATCTAAGTTAGATTGCATAATTTTTGCAGACGACACTAATCTGTTTTATTCTTCTAGCTCAATCAGTGACCTCTTTAAAACCGCAAATTCAGAACTTATTAAACTTAACACATGGTTCAGAGCTAACAAATTGTCACTAAACTTAAACAAAACTAAATACATCTTATTTCACCCCAATCAAAAAAAAAAGGCTATCCCATCAATTTTACCAACTCTTACTATAGACAACACAGTTATTGAACGAACTCAATCATCTAAATTTCTTGGTGTGCTTATTGACGAGAAATTATCTTGGAACTCTCACATAAATAACATTAATACAAAAGTCTCAAAAAACATTGCTCTACTCTATAAAGCAAGAGATTATTTATCGTTCGATAATTTAAAACTTCTTTATTTTTCCTTTATACACAGCTATCTATCATATGCCAATATAGCATGGGCAAGTACCCATAAAACTAAATTATGTTCACTCTATAGACGACAGAAACTCGCCTCAAGAATTATTTTTTATAAAAACAAACTTACTCAGGCAAACCCATTACTAAAACAGACATACACATATACTAAAAGTATATGTGTATGTCTGTATATGTGTGTATTTATGTGTATGTGTATGTATGTATGTATGTATGTATGTGTATATATTTGTGTGTGTATGCGTATGTATGTATATGTATGTGTGTATGTATTTATGTATATATATATATATATATATATATATATATATATATATATATATATATATATATATATATATATATATATATATATATATATATATATATATATATATATATGCGTATATGTATATGTATATATGTATATATATGTGTGTGTGTGTGTGTGTGTGTGTGTGTGTGTGTGTGTGTGTGTGTGTATGTATATATATATATATATATATATATATATATATATATATATATATATATATATATATATATGTATATAAGTTATGTTTATGTTATGCTCCTTCCTAAAAACACGACTAATTATATTGAAAAATGTAATAAGTAATAAATAAAATATTTATGAGTATCTCATGAAATTGTTTAAAAAAAGGGTTCTCGATGACAAGACTTTACACAGTTTTTCTGCGAGTTTCCCTTGACTGCATAACTAAAGGTTTAATTTTTCCCTTTTTAAGACTTTTTTTGTCTTTTAAAAAAATTGAAAAACTACTTTACATTATTTTATTAATTTGGATATCAAATATATCTTAGTATTATTTCATTTATTTTCAAAGCATTTTGACTGTATTTGTAATAAAGGTATATATTGTTAAAACTATTTGTAATAAAAGTATGTATTGTTAAAGCTATGTACTCGGTGTAGTTAAGGCACTTTTAAAATATTATAGCGTCTGTATGATATTTTGTTGATTATGACATATTGCCGTGAAATGGTCTGGTCTGTGAATTATGAAAAGACGAAAAAAATTAAAATAATAAATTTTGCAGTATCATAAAATATAAATGTTTGTAGCGAAAAAACCCAGACTGTAGAATCTATTTTTTTTTTTTTTAAATCATCTTAAAATCACAATCGCTCGTCCAAATTTAAATAAGAGATTTAAATAAGATTTTATATTAATACGTTTTTTAGGTGAAATGAACATTATAGTTTAACAATATGATCTGTTCTGATCTTTTTTGGCAATTATTTATAATTATGAGGTCTTTCTTGGTCGGAATTCCAGTAATTTTTGTGAAAATTGATAGAAATATTGTGTTTTGACAACTATATATAGTTAATATACGTCAGAACCGATTAGAACTAGGATCAGTAGTAAATTAAGTAACTTTTTAAAAAGATTTTAACTAAATTCATGTTAATGTCGATGAGCGAAATTGATCTAAAGACTCCAAATTAGTGTTCTTTAGATACATTATTACAGGTAGTAAAAAGATTTTAAAAATTATATATAAAAAAGAAAAGTTTCTTCAAATATTATAAAAACTTTAAGCAAAAAAAATTATAGCATTTAAAGATCTTGTTTGGGCATAATATGCTGAAAAAACTATGCTAATTCCAAATAAAAGTATTCAAATATTTTGTAAATCGCCTTAACTACACCGAGTAGTTATAAAAAAAATATATGGAAAAAAAAAAAAAAAAAATATATATATATATATATATATATATATATATATATATATATATATATATATATATATATATATATATATATATATATATATATATATATATATATATGTATATATATATATATATATATATATATATATATATATATATATATATATATATATATATATATATATATATATATATATATGTAGTGTATATATATATATATATATATGTAGTGTATATATATATATATATATATATATATATATATATATATATATATATATATATATATATATATATATATATATATATATATATATATATAAGTAGTGCATATATATATATATATATGTAGTGTATATATATATATATATATATATATATATATATATATATATATATATATATATATATATATATATATATATATATATATATATATATATATATATGTAGTATATATATATATATATATATATATATATATATGTAGTATATATATATATATATATATATATATATATATATATATATATATATATATATATATATATATATATATATATATATATATATATATATATGCAGTGCCGAAGCTTCGGCTTCGGCAAAGTGGCTTCGGCCGAAGCTTCGGCTTCGGCAAAATTTTAGCCTCGGTACATCCCAACCCAAAACATCTTGTTGCGGGAAGATAATATTTCCTAATAAAGAGAATATTTCCTAACACAAAAATACCGCCAAAGCTACACATAAATTTTACTCTTTACAGCTAAAAAATGCCACATAGGAGCACAACTGATTCCCGAGCACGAGCACAAAAATGAACAGGGCAGTTTATATTTATGTTATGGGACTACGCGAGAATAAATTTAATTAATTAATTTTTACAAATTATTGCATGTTTCCTCAAAATTAAAAAGTAATGTATTTTTTTAATTTTAATTTCTTCATTTTCAACTTTTTGGGGGCCCCTTAAACGTTGAGGACCCTAGGCGGCTGCCTTATTTGCCTTATAGTACGGTCCAGCACTGGTTGAGAATAAACATCTTGTGTGTAGTTATTTAGTTCTGTCTGTCGGGTCATATAATGCACAAAGCGGTTTTTAAAAAGTAGAAATACAAATTATAGGATAGGAATAAAAAAGGTTGAGCGACTATGTAACACAGGACTGCAAATGACGTCAACTTTTCTTGACCTCCCCCTTGTCAACAATTGCCAAAAAAGTTCGGACCCCCTCTCCCCTATTTTGACGACGTAATTAATGGACAGCCCCCAAATGATATAATTTTTTGGTCAGAATATAACTCTAATAATAACTGTTTCACCATAAAAAAGTGGTCGACACAACTTTTAAGATGCCTCCACAAATTGTGGATCACAATTACAATGTTTCATGGTGCCCTATGTGTCATTTTACCTCACTCTCCCCTACGCTAATATAAATTTTGATTTTCGAACTTTATTGCATACATAGCATATATAATTCTTGCATAAATTGTAATCTGGTGCCTTGATAACCAAACGCAAATTTTTAAATATTTTACTAGTTTAAGAGTTAATTAGTTGAAAGTTATTAATTAAAATTTTGGTTTTTGCTTTTTTTAAGATATTTTTAAAAAATTTCATTTTAAAATATGACGATCAACCTTATTGTAATATATGTTGTAGATTATTTGTCTCCTATCCGTTTCGTATGCAGAATGAGTTCATCAATTAAAGAAGATAATGATATTGTTTTCATTGCAAAAACTAAGAGTGCAATCGATGAAGTATTGGCTTTGTTACGTACTTATCATGATATAATCAATAGCCATTTAAATGAATATATAGTTAAAAATTTAAGCTTGCAAATTGACATTGACGGCTCCTCTTCTAAAGATATTTTTGTTAAAAAATGTCAAAGTATTGGAGAAATCGGATGTTGCTACCATGCTGGTGTCAATTGTATCGAATGTTGTTCTGAAAATAAATTAAAAAATGATAAAATTGATAAAAATTTTAAAATAATAAAAAAACAACAACATAATAGTTTTTTAAGTGAAAAGAAACATCATGAAGTAGAGTATTTAGCTAACATTGTGAATCAAATTGCTATTAAAACTAAATGCGAAAACGTAAGAAAAAATTGTATTTTATTTACTAGAGCAACCATGTTTTATATAAATTTGATTTCTTACATATATAAGCATTTTTAATTTTACTTAGTATTATTTAGTACCTTTGTGGATGCATAAATTGGATCTATGGAAGGAAAATATTATTTTAATACAAATAGTGTCAATCCATATAATTTTTTTTCGTTACATTTCGTTTTAAAATGAAAAGAATAAACATTATATGGTAGTCAATTATTCTGAAACTATTAACAAATATACCTAGTTAGATGGATATTCTTTACCTAAGATTGAAGTAATTATAAGCATAATTTCCAACTACTTGATGAGGGATCTTCCATAAAATACATAAGCAGGTATATAGTTTGGGTTACCCAAAACTATACAAAAGTGACAAATAGGGGGATGGGTGGATTAAATTACAGAGAGTATAAATGCCGTTTGATTTTCTCGTTCTATATCTCTCATTGACTTGTTTTTGAAAATTAACTTTTTTTTTAAACACAGAATTTCACAAGTTTAAAAATCAATATTATGTTATCTAACATAGATATGTCAAAAATTCAAAGTTTTTTTATTTTTAATGTTTTGAAAAGTCTGCATTGGGGAGGAGGTTAATTTTATGATAAAAATGCGTACATACGGAGAAGGATTAGGAGGGGGCTGTTGAAAGCATACAGTTTTGTACAAGAGGAGGGAGTCCTAAAGCAGTGGTTTTACTGCATACATTCTTTATGGATGCCTCCTAATCCTAAGTCTTTGCAATGCATTATTAGAATTTTATTAGAATAATCTGAAAAAAAGATTTTTTTGAAAATTTTTAGATAATATTTAACCTTTGAATTTTGTTACCCATTCCTCACTCAAGCAACAATTTTCAGTAATTAAAACATTAAAAAATGTACTTGTTCAATCTTTGATTAGCCATTGATGAGAAAATCAGCCACACTTAACCAAATTGGAAGGCCTGTTGTCTTCCATTCACATACTCTCTAGGAAGTGAACAATACTATTTATCAGTAGAAAAAGAAGCTGAAGCCATAAATGGCAATATTTTACTCTGGATAATCATTTTTGTCATTGACCAACTCATTGTGTCATTTAAGCATAATAAATTAAACGATAAAATAAAAAATGAAAAGATAATGCATTGGAGAATAGCCTTGTCTCCATATTTTTATGATCTCCTATAGTTCCTGATAAATAATCATGTTTTCCGAAGTAAAAGTGTCAACACATGCAATAGAGATTATGAGAAATAAAAGCAATAGAGATAAATAGAGAGCAATAGAAATAAATAAAATGTCATAAATTATTATGATCAAAACCAAGAAAATGTTAAGCAAATAAAAAAAAGTTTGCAATCAAAAATGTTTTTGTTTTTATTAATTCTATAAGGTCTAAAATATATTAATGACCATATTTATTTTTAGATTGTTTGTCTGTAAACAACGATTGACTATACAGATTTTCTGCTAATTGTAATAGATTCATCATAAATCCTACTTTTTATTGTTATATATAAAATTACACGCTTTTTATTCTCTAATTATTAGAGAAGGACTTTTTTTTTATATCTGTAAACTAGAATTTTTTCTGCTAGTTTTTGAAGCTAGCTGGAAATTTTCCTGTTAGTTTTGAATTAGGTTAATTCCTTTTTTACTTTGGATTCAGCATATTCAAAAATAGTTAGGTACCAATATTCAGCCAGTTTCTTCCACTAAAACCTAAATTGTTTACACATATACAATTGCTAAAAAATCTATGACAGAGAATTTTAGTCTTAAAAAAGAATTTTTTGTCTAAATTTCAAAATGACATCTTTATAATGTATAAAAAAACCAAAACCATCTTTTTTATAAAGACTGCTGACTTCATTTAGAACTTGAAAGATAAATTTAACAAATTTTTCATGTGGTCTATTTTGAATTTTTTATCACTTACTCAAAAGGTGCCCACTATTCTTATATGCCACTGCAAACTCCAAAATGTCTCAAAAGCCACATTCAAGATTAGCTGGTTGATCTAAACAATCAAAAAGTAACAACTTTTTGTCAAGACTTAAGTATATAGGCTTGTAATAAGCAAATAAAGCCATATTAAAGAAAAAATAATCAGAAATATCAATAATATAGATAAACAAGGATAGAGCCTTGTAGTACCCTATAAGTTGCTGAAAATAACATTAGCAAAGGAAACCGCAATGATTTCTATCAACAAACTAATCATAAAAGAATCATATAGAGCCATTTCTTACATTAAAAATTTTCAACACTACCCATAATCTAACATTACTTTTACAGAGCTGTTACAGTAGCATGCAAAAGTTTAGAAACTTTTTTTCAGTTTTTACTGCATAACTTTACACAAACTTTATCAACTGAAATTTTTACATTATGTGCTCTAAATTATTTCAATTTAACATACAAACCACAAAAGTTGTAAAATTAAACCGTTAATTAAAATTTAAATGTTTTTTTGAAAAAGTTTCAATGCAAAAGTTCAGAAACAATATCATACCCCACAATTAAATCATGTTTTTGTCAAAGGCCAAAATATTTGTGAAATATAATAATTTAATTATTTTGAGGTATTTCAAAGGCATTAAAGTATAACTAATTGCCAAAAACTACTATATACCTAAGGTTACAACTGAAAAGATTATTAGTAAGGTATTCCAAGAATATTCTTTGCAAGTCTTGTCAAACTTGATTCATTTATGCATCAGTTTCATGGCACAAACTGTAGTGTCGGTACAAATAAACGTTGATTGCATTAAACTAATCTGCATGGCTGTCATCCAGTAATAATTAATAGTAAGAAACCGCTGATATTTGCAAGAAATTTAAAAACCAGAATAAAATTTGCAAAAGGTCATATTAGTTGGTCAAGTCCTTGACCTACTTATATTTATATTATACCTTTAGCAAATTAAGTCTTTTAATATCCTTCTTTCTGATGAACCAAAGTTTATGCTATTCAGTAGTGACAAAATTAGTCATGATAGCGTGGGTCCCATTCATCACATAGAAAGTATTATTGACTAGTGGGTTTATTTAGACATCATAAAGAATGTTATGCTGCCACATGCAAAGTATAAAATGACTCGCAAATGGATCTTACAACAAAATAATGATCCAAAGCATTGTGCCAGATCTGTTAAGGAATATTTGAAATCACAAAAAATCAAAGTGCTTATATGGCCTTCACAGAGCCCAGATCTCAATCAGGATGTTCTTATTCATTTAGTAGATTTAATGCCTTGTCTCTATGATGCTTTTTTAAAAGTAAATGGATATCCCACTAAATATTAAGTGTAATTCTTATTGAAACTATTTTATTGAAAAATTGTTATTTTGTGAATTTTAGTAAAAATTATTAAAATAAATCAAATTCAGTTGTTTCTAAACTTTAGCATAAAAGCTTTTTCAAAAAAAAAAATTTTTTTTAAATTTCAAAAAAAAAAAAAATTAGCATAAAAGCTTTTTCAAAAAAAAAAACTTTAAGATATTAGAACTGTGTGTTTTAGTTACAAGTGATAACATTTGATTTAAATCAGACAGAGTTAAAGTTGTGGTTAAGTTACCATATGCGATTTAATTTTAAATTTGTTTATGAATTTATAGCATTTATATTATAAATTTATAACACCATTTATTGTAATTTTTTGTTCTTGCTAATGTCTTGATGTAAAAATATTTTAAACTTATATAAGTATTAATGATAAAATCATTATGATCTTCTTTCAGAAGTCTTGTTTTTTTTTTTGTTTTTGTTTTTGGTTTTTTAATTTGTAATCAACGTGGCTATTACAAAGTTTTTATGACTTTAAATATTTTTATGACTTTGAGTAATAATTTGATTTTTTTTTTTAAGTATTAAATTCTGGTAAGTTTACAGAAAGTTTGAAAAAATGTTTGGCAAACTATGCTAAAGATCAAGAGATTTATCAATGTGTAACACTGTAACAAATATATTTCTGGTTAAGCTGATCCTATTTCAGGGTATTGAGGCTCTTAAGCTGTGGAAACATACCTAGTATAAAAATGAAAAGCTCTAGCATAAAACTTCAACTTTGTTGTAAGGTAAAACAAGTTCATGCCTGAAAAGGATCCAGTTTTAACAAATTACTTCAATTGTTCTGTTTCATGATTAGATAAAAAATAGCATGAAACAAAATCATTTCAAAATCTCACAAGTGCCAGATGTCCGGCTTTTACGAACACTGTAAAGAGATTTACAGAACACTGTAAAAAAACGTTTTTTACAGGTTTGGCATTTGGCGCTGTATTCTCTATAAAAGCAGGACATCTGGCAAATATAACAAGTGTGGAATTAAATATGAAAAAATACTAAAAATAGATAATGGGTATTAAAATTATAAAGCCAAGTTGAGTCTTCATATTGGTATAAGTATTGCCTCTTTTTCTAGTAAAAGTAGACTGCAAGTGGGGTATTAACTTACCAGTAATGTTATTACACTTTAGCAAAAAGCAAAAAATATAAAAAAGCAAAATTATATATTATGATTATTTATACATACATGCATGCATACATACATACATACATACATACATACATACATACATACATACATACATACATACATACATACATACATACATACATACATTCATAGATTTTCTTTGATCAAAAGCTAATTGCTTCTTTAAATTTATATGCTACATGTTACATCTCTTTTAAGTCTATTGCTTTCTCAAAGTATGAAGTTTTGTACTATGTGAGAGATGATGAGCTTTTGATCAAGCAATAAAAATATCTGTTGCAAAGGTTTGTAAAAAATATTAGAATAATAAATAATGGGCAAAATAAAAAAAAAACAAAAAACATTATTGTTTCAGATTGTTGACTTTGGTTCTGGAAAAGGTTATCTTGGGTATGAGCTAGTGTACAACTATGGATTAAATGTGTTAGGAGTCGAAAGTAGTATGAAAAATGTGGTTTCTTCAGAAAAAAGGAAAAAAATGTTGAGTAAACATCAAATAGAAGACAAGATTTTAAAAAGTATTGCATGTCACATACACCCTGATTTAATAGATTCATCTGAATCATTTATTGAAGACTTAAAAAATAATTTTTTGTCTCCAACTATGGTAAAGTATATTTCATCCATACCTTATCTAAACTATTATTTATATTATATATTTCATATTTATTAATTATCTATTTCATCTTTATTATATATACTGCTATTTATGTTTTACCTAACTACTGAAACAATTAAGTTATAAATAACAATAAAAATGTTTTTTTTTTTTTTTTAACATTTTTGTTTAACCACTCAGAATCAAATTATTAAGAGAGTTTAGGAAAAAATCTTATTACTTGCAATCACATAAAAAATTTTGAACTAATTTTTATTTGCAACCTTTATTATTTTTTTTTGCGCTAACACAACTGAATAAAATAATTCTGTTAACGATATACTTTTTTAGGCAAAAGGTTAGAGAAATCAACTCTCACTTTAAATACCTGCCTTGGAGCTCTTGGTTCAGTAAAGGCTAGAGATAGTGTCTTGATAAAAATACTCAATTTGGGCAGTTGTTAAATGCATCCGGCTGTTGTCTTGTAGAAGGCCTCCTAGGCAAAGGCTTAAGAAGTAAACAGGTTGTATTTGACCAGCCTTGCACCCCTTCCTCATCTACATTAGGCTGGTGCAGATGCGATTATAATAGATTGTTTCCAGTTTAGGATGATAAATGCTGGATCTTCTTGACTCAATGCATGAGTTTTGCTTGTCTCTGTTTTTATGAATAGGCAACTCATTCTATTATCTTCTAATGAGGATACAGCTCTAAAACTCAGTTTTATGGTTCTGAGGTCAGCTGGTAGTAAGGTTTCCCGAACTCTGTGGTAGTTCTCAGAGAGGCTGATTCCATCAACAGCTGAAAAATATCAAAGTATTAACAGTGCCATGTTGCGCATAGATGGTGTCCCTGTTTGTATTTTTGGTGTGCATTGTCAAGGCCACATTTGGAGCCCTTTGTTACGGCTTAGGGTTTATTAATAGTAATGAGGCAATTGCTTGGGTTTTTACATAAACATTTATTATTACGTTCTGAATACTATCTATGCTTTGAATAAAATGCTTTTACAAATTTAAAAAATGAATAAATTACCAAAAACTATAAAACACAAAAAAGTTTACCAGACCTACTTGCTCTTTGTGAGATTAATTTGAGTTCAGCTATCTCATCTAGCGATCTTAGTGTTGATGGTTGTCTTCCTTTAATTCGTAAAAACTCCAATAGTCACATGTTTGGCATGGGCATTTACATTTTTAAGAATTCACCCATTTGTCGGGAGACTAGGTTTGAATCCACACCCTTCTTTTATGTGCTTTCATTTAGCACCACTTCACTCTATCGCCTTTCTCTTTGTTTTATATTGCTCTCCTTCCTCTCAAGATTGCACTCTTTTTGATATTATTTCTAATCAAATTGACCAAGCCCTCTCTCTTTATCCATCAGCCAATATTGTGGTTGTTGGTGACTTTAATGCTTCTCATGCTGAATGGCTTGGCTCTTGTGTCAGTGACTCTGCAGACGTTAAGGCCCACAACTTTTGCCTTTCTCAATCTCTATATAAATAGTCAACTTTCCAACTCACTTTCCAGACAACCCGAATCATTTACCTTCTCTATTCAACTTATATCTTGTTTCTGATTATATATTTCCTAGTCAGTGCTCAATTTTTCACCCTTCGGTGCTTCTGATCACAGTTTCATCTCTCTAAAACTATTATCTTATTTTTCTTCATCATCAGAATCTACTTATTATCATATCTCTTACAACTACCTTAAAGCTGACTGAGACTCTCTCTGTGATTTTCTTCAAGATGTCTCTTGGGTAGAAATCTTTTGTCTTCCTGCTGACAAATGTGCTTCTTACATAACTTCGTGGATTCAGGGTGGCATGGAATCTTTTATTCCCTCTCGATGATTCCAGGTCACGCCTCACTCTTCTCCATGGTTTTCTTCACATTGTAGTGCTGCAATTGCCAATCAAATTGTTACTTCCATATCTATAAGCAAAACAATTTTACTGAAAACAGATAACTGTTTATTACTGCTAGAAACCATTGTAAAAGGTTTTTTCTAATACCGTAGCCCGCTATTCTCAGGTCATGAAATCTCGTATTTTATCACAAAAATTAGGCTATCGTGACTTCTGGAGAATCTTTAATAATATCAATAATAAGGGCGAATCTGTAAATCTACCTCTCTTGTATGGTTCAGACTTTGTCACCTCACCTAATGACAAAGCTGAATTGTTTGCTAAGAACTTTTCATCAATATCATCTCTTGATTCCACTAGTTGTGTTCTACCTGAGTTAATCGTCAAACTGGTTGATCCATTGCTTGATATACGTATTATTCCAGCTTCTGTATCTAAACTGATTTCCTGCTTAGACTCTTCTACAGCTTGTGGCCCGGACAACATACCTGTTATAGTCTTGTACAAGTGTTCTCCAGAGCTGTCGTCTATCCTTTCAAAACTATTTAACAAGTACTTATCAGAGTCTTGTTTTCCAGCCTGCTGGAAAGCAGCATCTGTTATCCCTCTTTTTAAAATTTCTGGAGAGCAATCTGATTCATCAAACTACCGTCCCATTAGTCTTCTTTCTATCATAAGCAAGGTTTTTAAATCTTTAATTAACAAACCCATAACCTCTCATCTTGGATCTAATAACTTACTTTCTGATTATCAATATGGATTTCGATCTTCTCGTTCTATGATAATGTATTTGAGGAGTCATCTACCCTTCATCTTCTAGGATTAACTCTTACTTCTGATCTCTCTTGGAAACCGTATATCAAAATTTCAAAATTAGAATCCGCTAAGGTTGCATTTCTTTATCGAGCTGGACTCTTTTTTTCTTCAGATTCTATTCTCTATTTCTATAAATCTTGAATCCGGTCTTGTATGGAATACTGTTCCCTTATCTGGGGCGGATCTTCTAATGATGCCCTTTCTCTTTTAGACAAGGTGCAAAAACGCATTGTAAACATAGTTGAACCTACTCTTGCAGCCAGCCTCCAACCATTATCATATCATAACCATTATCATACCAACCATTATCATATTAACCTCCAACCATTATCATACCATTATCATTCTCTTTCTCTTTTCTGCAAATACTATAATGGGCACTGCTCTAAAGAACTAACGTCTCTTGTGCCATCTACTGAAATTCATTCTCGTGTTACTCGTTATTTAATTAAGTCTCATCCTTTTTCTGTGTTGTTCCTAAGTGCTTCAAGTACTCTTATTCGTCTGGTATTTTTCCTTGAACATCAGTTCTTTGGAATTCCCTTCTTCCATGTTGCTTTCCTGATTTATATAATATGCAATCTTTTTAGTCATCTGTTAATTATTATCTTGCTCTACATACTTCATCTTTTCTCTTCCAGTAACTTCCAACTCTAATAGTGGTTGCTTGCAGCCTTGTTGGAAGCGATGTTAAAAAGAAACAAAAACTTTATAAAATTTTCAACAAAATGCTGGTTATAATGCTTTTTCAAACTTACATTAGTAAGCAATTAATAAAGTTTACATTAGTAAACAATTTAAAAAATTTACATTAGAAAACAGTTTTAAAAAATAAACATTTGTAAGCAATGTAAGAATTAAAAAGTTCTGATAAAAGAAATAATTTACTTAGTTGTAGAAATTAATAATTTTTTATCTTATGCTTATTTGTCAACATTTTTTGTTTGTCTAAACATCACCAAATTTTTCAAAATAAAAAAAAAATTCTTTAAAATATATATTGTGAAAATGTTTACAATGTTTAAAAAATGATTTTTTTTAAACATTGTAAACATTTTCAATAAATGATTTTTATTATGAATTTAGAATAATGCATTACTTGTTGGTTTACATTCATGCGGTAATTTGACATGCACTGCACTTAAACTGTTTTCAAAAGAAAACTACTTTCATGGTGTTGTAATGATAGGCTGCTGTCACAACCTACTTGAAAATAAGAAAGGTTTTACATACATTATATATGTAGCATTTTATTTATTGTCATTATATATATATTTTTTTAATTCACCTCCTCATGGCCGAGAAGGCCACTACAGACGAGGAGGCTACTTATTTGTGGTTATAACCCTCTCTCAACTCTAGAACTCTGAAACACGAACCTTGACGAACAAGGTTGAGCACGGTACTACCAGGGACGTGGTGAGGATTGAACTCGGAACCACTCGTTTATGAAGCGAGCGCTCTACCACTACACCACTACCGCATCTATATATATCATTATAAGTTAGTAAAAACATTTATCTAATTTTTATTTTCTTATACAGCTTGTTTCTCCATCAGTAGGATTATCAGAAAGAATTCTTCCTGATGATCCTACTGATGAAGAAACAAGCTGTAGAAGAAAATAAAAATTAGGTTAGTGTTTTTACTAATTTTGTATTGCTCTGTTCTTTAAGAATATTGAGGACTCTATTTGTAGAATACACTAACATAAATTATATATATATATATATATATATATATATATATATATACGCACAGACTGAGCAAAATTTCCATAGTTCCACTTACAATATGTAAATATAAATGAATTTTTGAAGAATTTGCATTTTTTGTTTTGTTTTTTACAAGAAATAGTAAGAGTAAGGACCAGTGTTTGTTAAACTTTGGACCAAGCTTACTGAAAGGCGAAGTTGTCTTCGGCTTTGACTTTGATGCTGAAGTTGAAATAGAAATTCGGCTTTCAGTTAAATTCGGTAACAATTTCAAAATTTCATTTAATTTTCAGTTAAATTTGAGACCTATAAAATTTTTTTCAATTTATAAAGAAGAATCATAAAAGATATTATATGTTATATGTATATTAACCTGTTTCTATTGGTTACAACCTTCTTTCAGAGTTGAGAGAGGCTTGTAACCAATATAAGAAGAAGAAGCTTGCTTTAGAAGCAGTAGACCTAGAGTTCGAAGCAAGCTCTCAGCATATTTCGCACCATTGGTAAGAAAAAAGGTTTGAGCCTTTTAGTGTGGGGCTGTTGTTTAATTACGTCAACAATTTTATGGTAATTTTCCTCCCGCCTCCCCCTTGTCAGCAACTTGTTAAACTTTTAGAGACCCTTATAAAATTATGTCAACATTTAATTAACCCCCCCCCCCCCATCCCTTCTTTCTTATGTAGAATAAAAAAATATGAAAAATAAATTAAACATTTTTAAATAGTAGTAGAAGTAGTAGTAGCTTATTACTTCAAGAAAAGTATTTAAAAGTATTTAAAATTAAAATGTTTAGAAAAAAAACTTAATTCAACTTTTAACTTATAAACATTTCTAAAAAATAAATAAGCATTTAAAATTACAAAGGCTTGCTCTGAACAAAAAGTGAATAGGAATAAAATTGATTACTACATTCAACACTATTGTTTTAAACTTCTTTCAGTGCATGATAGAAGGTAAAAAAAAAATTAAATTCACTCAACTTATCGATGAACTGCAAATCAATATTGTGTCAATAATAAAAAAATTGTTCCAGTTATAGAATTTAAAAGAACAAAAAGAAACATTAAAACTTTGATGGAGGAAAGTATTTCTCGATGTTTACCGAAATTCTTACTTTGATAAAGAAATTGAAATTTTTGATAAGATCTTTAAGATCTTCTTTAAGCTTATATTTTAAGTTGTTGAATGTTTAGTTGATGATTAACAATTACAAATTATATATATATATATATATATATATATATATATATATATATATATATATATATATATATATATATATATATATATATATATATATATATAATTAATGTGAAAGTTATGATATATATATATATATATATATATATATATATATATATATATATATATATATATATATATATATATATATATATATATATATACAGTGCTCAAAATAATTATTCAAAGGTTGCTGATCAACATTGTTTGGCTGAAATAAAAAATAATAAAAACCAGACGATCAAATAATTTTTTAAACGATCAATTTTTATTAAATTTTACTATAATTTAATAAAAAATTGCATTTTTTTGATCCTAACTCACATGATTTTAGTTTTGCCATTATAATTTTATAACTTTCAATTAATTATAATTTTATAACTTTTGCTGTTATAATTTTAATTTATTCTCTTTAGAATTTAAGTAAATTGTTCGTTTTACCGTTTTGAATTTATTAATTTTATTTAGAATTTAAGTATACTGTTGGTTTTGCCCTTTTTCTTTTTGTGTTATTTTGAATATATTTATAAAACATTGCTGTTTTTAATTTAATTATTTTATTTAGAGTTTATATAAATTATCTGTTTTGCCGTATTTCTTTTTAATTGTATTAATTTGAGTATAAAACATTACCGTTTTTATTTTTATTATTTTGTTTGGATTTTAAATTAACATAAGTTATGCCATATTTATTTTAGTTATTTTATTCAGAATTTAAGCAAATGTCTGTTTAAATTTTATTTAGAATTTAAGGAAAACAATCTTTTGCTGTTTTTATTTTAGTTATATTATTTAGAATTGACATAAATCCTATGTCGTTTTTATTTCAATTATTTTATTTATAATTTAAATAAGTTGTTTATTTTGCTTTTTATTATTTTATTTTGATTGAAATTAAACTTTGCCATTTGTTTTTTTTATATATTTTATTTAGAATATAAATATGTTTGTTTTTCTATTTTTATCCTAATTATTTTATTTAAAATAATAATTAATTTTCAATGTCCTGATTTTATTTTATTATAGAAAGTAAACAAATGGTTTTCTTTGCTGTTTTTTATTTTATTTCGAATTATAATAAAACTTTGCCATTTTTTAAAAATTATTTTATTCAGAATTGAAATAAGTTATTTGTTTTTTCTTACATTATTTTATTTAGAATATAATTCATTTCAAAATTATTTTGATGCTAATCAATCTTAACTTTCTGTATTTAAAATGTTTTTGTATTAATTAATACAATATTTTGACCAGCAACTTCTGCTGATCAAATTTGATCAGCCAGTTTTAATTTTAGGCGATCAAAATGTTTCAAAAACTTGGCGATCTTTGATCGTTGATCATCCGCTATTTCGAGCGCTGTATATATATATATATATATATATATACATATATATATATATATATATATATATATATATATATATATATATATATATATATTATATATATATATATATATATATATATATATATATTGCATGGATAGCGTTGGCATTTAGGTAACTTGGGATAACGGTAGTAATCAACTTGCCCGTCAACAAACCAACTCCTAGATAATGTTAAATATTTATCATAATATTTTTATAATTTTTGTACAGTGCAGAGTCGCAAAACGTAATTGTGCCAATTCTCCTTACTTTAACTTTAGATCTAATCCAATTCCACATTGAAAGCAAACTAATTCTAATAGAGTCTAGCATAACAAAATAATGCATTTGATAATTTGTATAAACAAGGGGTTAGCAATTTTTTAAGAGGGAAGACTCAAAGTTTATATTTTATGAAATTTTCCAGTTTTTAAAGATCTACTGACATCTCGTTTTCAATATTATAATAGTATTTGTGCATGGAGCTGGGTAGTCGTATTATAAATTTGAAATTTTAACATCAAATGTTTATAACAGGGTCAGGAACCTGCTTGCGAGCAGCAGGTTGCCGATTCTGGTATAAACATTTAAATAATATAAGATGATGTACTTACATAAATCATTATTTGTTTTTACATCAGGCCAACAAACACAAACTTTGAAAAAATAATAGTGTTATGAGTAAACATCTCGCTTGTGCTCATTTAGTTTTGTATGTGTTAGTAATTTTAAAGCACAACACGGTTTAAAAAATGTAGAATATTGAAAATGTCATTAAAATACTAAAGGTTGGGCGAGTATGTAACACAAGACTACAAACGTTGCCTAATTTTCTTTTTTTTTAAGTTTAGTTAAGTTGATTTTAGTGCTCAATAGTTTAAAATATTTACAACAATCCATAATAAATTTATAGACTTTTGAAAAATCATGAATGTTTGCTATGTTTTGTTTGCCAACAAAGATGTGCTGCATCAGACACCTCTATACTAATAATCTTAAGATACTTGTGCACATCTGCGACACCAGTACTATACTTTAAGGCATAATAGAATACTGGAAACATATGTGGAGAGAGGTTATTTCCAGTTGTCATTTAAAAATTCTCTTTTAACTTATTTAAATGTTCATCTAGTCGACTTTTAAAAATGTTGTCAGAAGTCGCTTTAATTACTATTTCCGGCAGGATATTCCACTGCAATACAACACGGTCCGTAAAGAATTTTCTCTCTTAGCATGCAATTGAGTACTCTTTGCTGTGCAAGTCTTTGATTATGACCACGCATAATATACTTTGACGACAAAAGGCGATTGAATAATATGTAAAAGTTTATTTTATCAAATTCAGGCATGAACTTGAACATCAGAATTAAATCACCTCTTTTCTTCTTTCTTGAAGTGTAAGACCTAACATGATTCTTCGCTGCTCGGCGGTGCAATGGTTTTTGTAGCATGGTTTTGAACTTTTTTTAGTGCTTCTATGTCTGCCTGTTGGTAAGGTGACAGGGCTTGGGTAGCATACACTAGGTGAGGGCGAACATATGTGGAATTCACTTCTTTCCACACTGAAAAACTACGGCTGCGAAAAGTTTTTTCAGCCTCTCTAAGGAGCGGTTAGCGTTCACCGCAGCTGCTAAGACTTGAGCATTTCATTTAAGATCATTTTAGATAAGAATTTCAAGGTCTCTCTCTAAATAAGCAACTTTGATTGCAAGCAGCAGGCTGTCTGATAATAGTCTCGTTTTGATACCTTTTTTCTTGGCCAGTATACATGACTTGTAACTGAGTAAGTATACAAAAGTAACATTGTTGACGTTAACTTTTCTTGACCTCCCCCTATCCCTTTTCAAAAATTTCCTGACCCCCCTCCCCCTATTTTGTTGACGTAATTAATAGAC